ATGGTTGCTGCGGAAGAAATGGCGCGGCGAACTTTCTAGAAGGAGAAGATTACCCTAGAGACGGAGATTCGACCGAGCTCGCTCGAGCCAGAGCAAAGCTGGCTGCTTTACAGAACAAATTTGAAAACATGGGGTTCGTATCAGGACCGGTCACCTATATGGAACAGATAGGCCCCAAACGAGTAATCCTAAGTGAGACTCTGAGCATCTCTGCTCCTATGTTGCCCCCGTCCGTCAGGGCATTACCCCCACCACCGGTTGAGGCGCCTGTATGATCAAACGAATCGGAGGCCATTTTCGAACTAACCAAAACCTTGATTAGCTTGATCCAGGAAAGCAAAAAGGAGCAGCGAGAGCACAATGCTCGGCTGGAAGCCATGATGAGGAACATGTGACCCATTGCGGTACGTGCCCCTCCGATGCAGGAAGGATTAGTCCCGGCCCCTGCGCTCGAAGGAGTTGCAAGTAATCTGAATGTATATTACGCCTATCATCAACCAGACCATCTAGCCCGTGATTGCCCCCACCGACCCCCGCAACAACGAATCGGGGTCGCACCTATGGCTGCGACCCCCATCGCCAACGGACCTCGACGAGTCGGAGCCCTGATGGAAGAAGTAGAAAGTGGGGGACCCTCGCCACCACGGAAGAGGCCGCCGAACTGATCCCACTATATCAATATGTGTCGCTGGGATATCCTGGGGTTGGAATGATCGGAACAATCAGACCAGCGCCAGAACCAAAAAAGGTGGCGGAGTGGCGACCGTCCCTAGGAGAAATGGAGTCGGGAGGACCCACCTTCGTCACAGGGAAGATCGATGTATGAAACATCATCCGAGCTTTGGACCATCGGATTCCCCTTCCGATTGGTCATCTGCTCTCGATCTCCGAGCAAGCCAACGAGCGAATGTTACAGCATTGCAAAGCGAACCGAAAGCGATTCGCCCTTGCCCAAACCCCGAACGCGAAAGCCAAAAGCCCCGCGCCCGAAGAAAACCCCGCAAGTACTTCGGATCCGATACAGGTAGGTTTAATCCAGAAAGATGATCATTTCCTRCGGATTAAACCAATTCCGTGGAAATCYGCCGAGTGTGATATAGAAATTTGGGGAATTCCTTACAATGCTATTATAGATTCGGGAGCGGCTGTGTTGGCTATCTCACTGAGGGTGGTCGAAAGGGCAGGTAGGAAAAACGACTTGATCACGCTTTCTGAGAAAGATCAGCTCGTTTCGGCTGACGAAGAAAGAATTAAAATCGTGGGAAGAATGACCAATGTCGCTTTCCGATTGGGTAAGGTCGATGCGCTTGGGGATGTCGTAGTACTACATGTCAATACGTACGACGTTCTCTTCGGACTTCTCGCTCTTGTGGCGTTACGAGCAAACCTGGATTTCGAACGACGATCGATCCTCCTCCGAAATACAGGAGGAAAGCCCTATGTTGTGCCCATGCGATTGACCTTTCGCACTACTATTAACGCGGTTCCCCGGGTTTCGCCGATGATGACAGGGACTCTCCGCATGATCTCCGTGGAGAAATCCGTAGAAGGAGAGTCGTCAACAGAAGATGCGGAAAGTAGTGACGAGGATGATCCGAAGATCTTGAAATTATCACGACAACGTGTTTGTTACCCGCCACTCAAAACGATAGCCAGAACGATGCAATTAACCAGCCGAAAAATTCAAAGAACCAAGGCGATGATCTTGGGTGAGCCCCTCGAGCAGATTTCGAGGATGGTCGATTCCTTGGAACCCCCTCAAACTCTGTACGAAGGAATCACCCCTCTCCTCGTCCGGTACAGCGACAAGAAGCATTATTGTGACATTACGGATCTACCCAAGTCCTTACTAACCTCGGCTAAAGAAGTCAGATTGTTACGCTTGGAGGCGGAAGCAAGCTCTTTGGAACCCCCTGGGCGTTTTGAAGCAGAAACATACGGACTGGGGATAAAGATCGCAACTAAGGAAGTGTCATGGCAGAATGTTTGTGACGGGATTACCCCGGAAGGACACGGGGCAATCCGAGAAGAAGATGCTCAGATGATGGCCACGGTGTTCTCCTGGCGATCGGATCATTCATTCATCTCGGCGCCTCCACCCGATTTGGCAAAACAGGCGAACCCGAAACAGATTGACGTTCGGATCTGGGACCAACTTTTTGAACTACACGTCCCACAATATGTGCCGGATGAAATCCACCGGGTAATTGCAGATATTCTTACAGAATATCAAGGAGCGATTAGTGTGTCAGACACTGACATTGGGCTGTCATTAGTAATCCAACACGAATTTCAGACAGGAAATCATTCCCCAATTCATTGCAAACCTTATCGTTATTCCTTGATTGAACGCAAAAAGGCTCTCGAATGAATTCGGGAGTTCGAAGCCAGCAGTTGGATGAACCCGCTACTGGACCCTGGTCCTTTCCTGTAGTGTTAGTACCGAAGAAGAACGGAGCGACTTGCATTTGCATCGATTATCGTAAACTGAATGAAATCACGATCAAAAATGTGTATCCCCTCTCCCGGATTGATGATCTGTTGGATGCGATTGGATGCGCTAATTATTTCAGCAAGTTTGATATTCGACATGGCTTCCATCATATTTTGGTAAGGGAAGAAGACCGACCGAAAACGGCCTTTGTGTTGTTTGAGGGCACGTGGCAGTGGGTTCGGTGTTCGATGGGGATTTGCAATGCGCCTGCCACGTTTCAGCGAGCGATGAACATGACGTTCCATAATTTCGTCAACAAGACACGGCTGACGCAAGGGATGATCAACTTCTGTGTGATCGTGTACATGGACGACATCCTGGTCTATTCGGAGACCTATCACGGGCACGCGCAACACATCGAATGGACATTGGGCGCATCGAGAGACGCTGGGTTCAAGATTGCGCTTGAGAAAAATGAATTTTTCCTCTCGGAAATTTCATTCTTGGGCTACGTTGTGACACGTGGAGGGCTGCGGCCGGACTCGAGAAAAGTTGCGGCGGTGGAGGAAGCCCCGGTTCCCACGTCACTTACGCAGGTTCAAGCCTTCTTGGGGCTGGCGTCGTACTACCGACGCTTCATCAAGGGCTTTGTCGCAATTGCACGACCACTAACGAATCTGTTGCGGAAGCATCAGCCTCTCACCTGGGACGCGGAGTGCCAGTAGGCCTTTGCAACCCTCAAAGACACTCTGGCAACGGCCCCTATTTTGATTCGGTCGGACCCCTCAAAGTAGTTCATTCTCATCACGGACTGGCAACCGGAAGCTATTTCCGTTATTCTAGCGCAGAAGGGGAACGATGGTCGCGAACACGTCATCGAGTACGCATCACGAACCATACCGGATGAACGAAGAAACAACTCCGCACCTCAAGGCGAGTGTTATGCAGTAGTTTGGGGAATCCAACACTTCCATCCGTATCTCTACGGACTGAGGTTTCGCCTCGTAACGGATCACGAGCCTCTGCTGGCGCTGAAGAAACTCACCAACTACACGGGCATGATTGGTCGTTGGGCGGTGCGACTACAAGAAAAAGACTTCGATATCGTCCATCGAAAGATAGAGCGACACGGCAACGCGGACGGGCTGACACGTGTGCATCGACCTGCCAAAGTACCAAAGGGCAAGAAAATTACAATGTGGAAAGAACCGAACTTGACCAACGAGCCGAAATACGGACAAGTGGCAGTTCGCCCACATGGCAAGAACCAAAACGGTGGCGATGGGTGATGAAGGTAACCCCACTACCCCTCTTTCTCCCCCTTCCTCCTCGTCTTTCCTCTCCCTGCCTGACAAATTTTGCTATTTTTGCGAAGCTATCTCCCGTGTCTATTCGGTCTCCATGCGTCCTAACGGGGAGGGATATGCGGATTGGATAGATTGCCGACAATGTGTCGCACGAGCCCATGGGTCGTGCATCCAATACAGAAACGATAGTAAACCGTGGTTGTGCCCCTTGTGCCAGACCGACAAGATTCCGACCGAGGCTCGCTTTTTGGATGCCACGTCAAAAGGATTGGAAAAGACCCGGAATTTTAGAGGGGTCGAAGTATGGACGGATATTGCCTTAATTGCCACCCTAGTAGGTAACCCCCTCCAGGATTTCACCAAGGAAGATCGGAGGAGGGCCAACGAAAGGGCTCGGGATTATCGATGGATAGAGGGTAGATTAGAAAAACGAAAAACGGACGGCAGTGGGATTTGGATGGTAGTGCCGCATCCGTTCATGCGGTATGACTGGGTTAAGACAGCTCACGAGGAAACTGCGGCCCATTTTGCCGTACGAATCGCGGAGTCCGCTATCGACAAAAATGAGTGGTATTGGTCCAATATCCGCGACGATGTGAAATACATTGTCGCCGACTGTCAAGTCTGCGCCGCTGATAAGGCGCCAATTCAGCCACCAAGATCGATAGTGCCCACGGTTGTTGAACGGCCATTTCAAAGAGTGAGCATGGACACTACCGACATAGTGGTGCCCCCTGGCCCTAACAGTTGCTAATATTCGACGAAATATTGCGGCACGGGATCCGAGGCCCTGGCCCAACATCGTCGACCACATCCTGGTCGTCCATCGCGGAACGCCTCACGAATCGACGGGGCTAAGCCCCTTCCAATTAAGGACCAATAGTGTCGCTTGCGTTTCAATACCAAGCCTCCCCGACGAGTCTACATTGGACCGACGGCCCACCAGGGTCACGGTTAAGGACAAGGCCAAACGGCACCTAGAGATAATGGAACGGTCACTGCCCAGGCTAGCCTGAAAACGACAGAAAATGACCGAACTAGCCCAAGGCCGGCAGGTCCGGAGCTACGAGGCCCGAAATGGGAATGCGGGTCTACGGCCCTAGGACAAATTAGGGGACGTGGTGCAGGTGAGGAAATGTGCTCGCCAGGGTAAACTAGCGCCACGATTCTTCAGGCGATTTCGCGTGATCAAACTCGGACCGAACAGTGTGAACACCGTGCGACTTGCGCCCGAGGTCTCCGGCAGCCGATCGGCTCGACTAATCATCCGCCACCTACCTCTGTCCCCTTCCTCCTTCTCCATTTTCGCCTCCATTTGATTCCTCCTCCTCCGATAGGAAACGCGACGACTATCTCTCTCCTATCTCTCCGTCCCCCTCCTGTTCTCTCTCTTTTACCCCGACACCATCGCCATGAGCTTTGCGACAGGGCAAGTGATCGGTGCGCGGCTTCTTACTCCGCGGCGGCGAATCAGTGTCATACGGCAGGTGCAGCGGCCCCATCTCTGCTCGGATCTCCTCCGGTTTGCGGCTTTCTTTAGTACGTCGGCGATCTACGCGGCGGCAAAATTCCAATTCGCAGAAGAAGCAACTACGCGCGTTCTGGCCGAGATCTCGGCCTTTCGACGGCTATCCCCTCCCGGGATTAGCCATATCGATGTTGTTGTCGTCTTTACGGGGGATATCACAGCGATTCCGTCGGTGAATCACTCTGACATCTATCGGACGTTGCGCACTTGGGCTGGGGAAGTGAGGACGGCGTGGACGGATCTTCTGGCTCGACGAGGAGATACCATCGTACCAGCGCATGACACGGACCTCCAGCTCCGCTCGTCTCGAAGTTCGCCCGCGATCGTGCTTCCAGAGCTTCGTCCCTTCGAGCCGCCCCAATGAGTCTTCGTCGCGTCTCCTATTTCGGCCTCCCCTCCAGCATTCCCACCCTTTGGCAGTCTGCACGTGCTCCCACCCTCTCCTACCGTGTCAAGGAGAACAGTGCGCCGCTATTGAGTGAGGAGAAGTGGGACGCGTGGTGGGAGAACTATATCGAGCTCGCTTTTTGCCTACTGGAGATAAAGTTCCGCTGGTCAGAGGCGGCCCCATTCGGAGAAGGGTCGGAGCACCCAGAAGACAGCGTGGAGTTTCTGATCATCCAAGCCTAAAGGACAGCGGAGCAGGGCGACCTGCTGGGATTCCTGTTCGGGAAGGTGGAGGAGGGCAATCTCACCTTGATCACGGACGAGTTGCTGGTGTTTTTGACTCGGCTGGGAGACGATCTGCCCCTGGACATCTTGTCCCACAGTGACAAGCAGCTTGGCACCCACGTGCTGTCTCGAACGCTCGAGCCGCACCTTGTGTGTTCCACGTGCACGGAAATCGACGAGGACAATTGTCTCTATCCCTCCCAGACGCTCTACTTGGAGATCGACGTTACCGATCTCACGTTTTGGGACCCGATTGCGAAACAAAACATCTTGCACGACGAGGAGATAAGGGGAGCAAACGAAGAAGAGGAAGAAGAAGAGCCATCAAGTGAGGAACGAGACGATCCGGACTACGTACCGAAAAGAGAGGCGGGGATAGCCGACGAATCAAATCAGCCGCAGGTAAAGGACGAAGGGGTGGAATCAGAAGAAGAAGAAGGAAGCTGGCTATCAGGATCGGATTGCGAAGGATTCGAGGCTGAAGTGCGCGGCGCGGCACGAGAACGAGCACGAGAGCAGAGGAAACGGAAGCGCGAGGAGACCACAGAGGGAAAGCGACCCGCAACAGACGTATCCTCTGTCGATCCGTTGATCGAGGACCCGTGGCGTGATCTAGAGTCGTCAGAGGAGGAAGACGATGGAACCACAGTGGAGGGATCACGCAGCAGAAGAAGAAGAAGAAGTGAATCGCCAGCTCCCTCCGGTTCCCCGTCTCGATCCTCCCTTCGTCTACGTCAAGATCTCAGCGTTCGGGCTTCGTCCCCGGTCGTTCTCTCGCCGACCCCGTGACTACCTCATGCTCACCCGCCTTCCCCATAGACCCCCATTCCCCGATGGTTGGTGTCCTTTCCCTCATCACCTTTTCTACCATCTCTCCGCTACCCGCCTTCTAGTCTTCGTCTATCCACACGTCGCTACTCGCTCTGTGGTTGACTCCTTTCTCCTTCATGTGCTCCTGTTTAGCGCAGACTGGCGGGAATATAGCCACGTAGAAATATACTGTATTGTGTCTGGAACTATTCCCGACTGCGAAAATTATGAAGATTTTCGCGCCGCCCTGCGACGGACCCTCTCCACTATCTACCCCGACTATATTACCGCCTTTCGTCATCTTCATGAGGTCCCTCGTTTCCCCCGCATCCATCGCTTCTTCCACTACGCAACCCTTCCTAATTTCGCCTCTCCCGCCATTAATCACTGCATGCCCCCTCTCCCCCTGAACAATCCGCCACCTCCACCCTCGATGATCCGACTACCATTTCCCGGAAACGTCTAAGGTCTAGGGTCTACCCCCCTGTTTACACTGATGCGTGGTTGATGGTACGTGTCGCGGCGACGACACGAGAAAGATCCCGTCCTTGGATCGTCGAGAGCCCAATCTGAGGAACTAGTAGAAGAGCAGAACTGCCACGTTGGATGATGTCCACACGCAATCGAACGGTAAGTGGCATAAAGTGAAGTGCTCCGCGTGTCAATCGATTAGAGAAATCGACACGTGTCAACAAGCAAGCAGAAGCTTGCTAATATTGGAACCCCCTGTGTGTCACATATGTGACGAACCACTTTCTGTAACGCGCGAGTTTCTGCGCGGTTGCAATGAGGGCTCCTAAGCTGGGAAGATTGGGCCAATTACGGGAAATCGGGATCGGTGGAAAATTGCATCAGTACCCTTGCCTCTTCGTCTTTTTCGTCGCTTCTTCGGGGTTGGGTGTGTCATGGGACGACCGGTTGAGTGATTGGTCGGATGGATGTCTGGCGCGCCACCGCGCGCGCGATTAATAAATGTTGACGTCGTTTCTTTCGTTTCGGTTTCGATCTTTTGGGCGCGGACATCGCGCGGGAAATTGATTCGTTCTTTTGAATTTTTCCTTTGGGTCTTTTTGGAATTTTGTCAAGCCCCCCCCCGATGGCTCTCAGAATTTTGGACTTTCCTTCTGGAATTTGTGCTTTTTGCTTTTTCACATTAGATAGGAATTTAGGAATTCGGTAATTAGGACTTTTCCTGTCGTGCGGCACCTTTTGTCTACGCGCTTCTTCATGTGGCTGTAACGGTACTCTGATTATAGGGCGCCCTTAATCGTGTGTGTAACTGTAATTTTGGGCGGGCGCCATTGTAACTGTATCTTTCTTCTTGCACTTCGCCTCTCTCGCCCTCCCCCTCTTTCTTTTGCTGAAATGTCACAGGTCGCGGCTTGCATGCTCGGATCGATGCGTGGAGAAGGGTTACGTCCCCCACGCCGCGGCCCGATCATGCAGAACGCAGGCGCTCCCTCTCTAATCTTCACTCAAAGTCCTGGTAATTCCGTGTTCTTCGCGCATGCATGCACGCTATAAATTTCGGCTGCGCGATTAGTCAGCTCTCTTAACCCGTTGTTGGAATCTCGGGGTTGCGCGATTAGAAAGGGTCGGCACACGAGCGAAGTAAGAGGTGAGTAGAGTCGGAGTTGGGCGACCCGACGGGCTGGTGCCGAACGAGCGGGATTGACATGGGCCATGACGGACTGTGGGCACGGGCGAATCCGATGGGTGCGGGAGGACTAAGCGGGTTGACAACTTTGTGGGTTGGTGTGTGACGACGGACTGTCCGCATCGGAGAGAGAGAGAGAGGAGAAGAGAGTTGAGGTTGATGGACGTGGATTTGTTGTTTCTTTGTCTCTTCTCCCTCTTCATCTGTGTACATACATTTTGATTGCGACTCCGGGCGGTTTGCCCGTTCTTATCTTCGTTTCGGCTTTCTGGAATCTGGACTTGGGTTTTTGCTCACACCTGTCCTTGCGATTGCATTATATGTATGATTGTCGAATGTATGGATGCATGAATGTTATGCCTGCTTGCCTATCTCATTTGCGGAGAATCCATGCCCTTGCTTTTTGTTTGTGCCGAATCTTTGCTTGCACTGGATGCAGCGATAGATGGGATAAGAATCTGGCCGCGATGTCGATTTCGTTCTCGTTTTTGCTTGTCCCATGATGAGGTTGTGTTGTGGTTGCAACTTGCATAACCGAGACTTACGAAGCAATTAGGCGATCCAAAGTCCGGCCCCGCGAGCGCCGCACTAGAACACGTGTAAACGTGATCCGAGTCGCGCCCTTACACGCATTCCCGCGCGTCGACTCGCTCACCCCGAAAGGAATCACGGTGGAACCATCATCCTGTACGAGCATGTTGAGGCGCCACTGAGTCGGCCTGTCCTACACGTGCTCGAGCGAGGTGACGATATCCCGTGCCACGCTATCCCATCGACAATGATACCATGACGCGATCTTGGGGCTCATACTCGTCCTATGACCCAGACTATTTCACCCCTATAATAAACGAGCTCATAAGGACCCGATACCCTTGTCACACAGAGAATCGGCTATGTCCACGGGAATTCCACTGTGCCACCACTAGCGACCCTCGGTGCTTCGATTTCCCTTCCCCCGACCACACCTACTACTTCACCCATCTGGGATTCGTTGAGATCACCACCAGTTTCCCTCCTTTCCGCCTCCTTCTCCCGTATCATCAACTCAGTGTCGTTCCGTGGCCGGCCATAACCCCCTATTGGCCCAACATGTTTTGCGTAAACTGCCGACGCAGCGGCGCACAAAGAACGCCGGAATTCCGAAGGCCCAACCCAGCTACGCGGCGGCCTGCGCCACGTTCTCAGGCGGCCACAAGTAGTGCGCCGCCTAAAAACGACAGTTTAGGGGTTTAGGCTCAGGGTTAAGTCCGCGTTTTGATAGTGCTTTGGGATGACCGGGCTGCAGGAATTATGAGGACTCAGGGTACCCCTGATTCTGCACGCACTAGATTTTAAGAGTAACCCCCAAAGACAGCAAGAAGGATAGGTGCACTAAGCACGACTAGAGACCGTCATTTCCGCTCGCTCAGAGGACTGGGACCGTTTTGGCCTGCCGCAGAGAGGGATCGCAGAAACAGACCTCGCCGTGGCATTTTGACGGCATACAACTGGGGCCGAAATGAGGTCTCGGATTTTTGTCTATT